GCGGTGCTACCTTTATAGCAGACAATCTTATGAAATCAGGTGCTTCTGATAGGTTATTAATGCTTCACGGACGATGGAAATCAGAGAAAGCTAAGAATATGTATGTTAAAGATTCTCTGGAAAGTAGGTTACAACTAACTAAATATTTTCCTACTTAGGCTTTTTGAGTAGTAAAGATGTAACCAGTTTTCCCTCCTCACATTGTTTGTACTTATTTGCCTAGCTTAGTGTGAAATGAATTAAAGCATCGTCGGGCAGGTACTCTCACTCTGCCTGCCAAACAGTCTTGTGTATTTGTGTTATGCTTCAGCGTTCTGGAGAAGGAAAATGATTTTCCTTCGTATGAACGGAGTGAGGGAGAAGGAAAGACGTGGTTGCAAGGGCAACAGGTCCAGAGAAATACCCAACAGGAAGATTAGCGTTCCAGGTGATTATGGGTTATTTTGTATTTGCTTTTTATTAATAATGGCTGTCCAACGTTATACAGGGACGTGGCTGTCAGGAAAAAAAATAAAGGCAAATCAAAGTCGGAAGTCTATTAACCTGTCTCTACCTAGGAAAAAAAACAAAACAAGAACAAAATACTGATGTGAATGTTCGTTAATGATGCTAGGTTTACCAATGGCGAAACTAGTGTTCAGCTGGTCAGCACTTTCAATAAAGTTTTGTTTTGACTCAAAGAGAATGAAGGACCAGACATACGCAGCAAAATGGCACACAATATAACACGAAACATCTTTTTTCTCTAGAGATGGCTACAAGCTGCAATTTCTGCACAATCAGCACTGACTCACCGAGCCAGTTAGAAGCCACANCTCACATTGTTTGTACTTATTTGCCTAGCTTAGTGTGAAATGAATTAAAGCATCGTCGGGCAGGTGCTCTCACTCTGCCTGCCTTACAGTCTTGTGTATATGTGTTATGCTTCAGCGTTCTGGAGAAGGAAAATGATTTTCCTTCGTTCGAACGGAGTGAGGGAGAAGGAAAATGCGTGTTCTTATGAGTCTGGGTTCATAAAGATTTTACAATTACGGGGAATGCATTCTTATGATAAGCATTAAATAATGCCAAAATGGGGCATTTTCAATGCCTCACTGCTCCTTAATGAGCATGGGCACCCCCCTTATTTATTTCAAAATTGAAGTTATCATATGACAAATATTCGGTGGACAAAGTTTGAACAAAAATCTACTGTCACCTTTATTTCAGAGGAATTACCTTAACTAGCACGCTGAATCGACGGATCACAACATCAACCCACGAGACGCCCAGATCCTCGAACGTAGTGTTGACAGCTACCACAAGAGGCTTTTCCTGGAGTCATGGCACTCAACTCTGGACAGCGCCGCTATCAACGAGAGGAAACCGCTCCGTCACGCTTACTTGCTGTTGATTTAAGAAAATCAATAAAACGACAGCAAGCGCGAGGCTGTAGCGCTAGCAATAACGAACTTTTATATCGCAACTCTGATGAAGGTGGACAGAGGCCACCGAAAATTCAGTAAAATCATAGATCGGATTACAAAAAAAAAAGTTTAAGGGAATGTCTAGATAGCAGCAGACATGTAAAGATTTTAAGGAAAACGACCACTTTTTTAAGTTTAAAAGACATGNTTGAGGCAAGGTAGTTCTTTTTGAATATGGATAGCCTCCTTTATCTTGAGTTGAAAGCTGGAAGTGGCGTGATCTAAAATATGAAAGCAGTCTATTGAACACAATGAGCGACAACGTTCACGAGGCACAAAGAAGCTAAGTAGTAGTGTGATTGGTTAATAAAACTCGCAACACGTGCTGTGACCGATGAGGATTTTCCCACCTGACTTCTTTCTATTTCAGTCCAGATACGATGAACACGTTTTTCCTGACTAAATGGTGTAATGTTCGAAATATCATTAGAACAGAACACCTCTGCTTTTCGGGAACAAACAAAAGAAGTGACACCTACTTAAGACCACTTAAGAGGAACTTTGTCGGTCAGATCGAAGGTTGTAGGTTTCAGTTTCATCATCAATTAACATTAAAAAAACGTTTTCTTTTGCATACACGATTGTCGATATTTCATTTGGCATGGTTCGTACTGAACACTTGCCCAATATTTTAATATGTATCTAATTTTCATTCAATTGGAGGCCTAGTAGTTAAGGCGCTGTATTTGTAGACCGGAGTCCCGTGTTCGAATCATTTTTCATAAGACTGGATGGATTTGTGTTTGGTGGTCCCAAATTCAACTTCTTCATGCTTTTGAAAATAACAAACGTTCGCCTCTTACTCCAATCTCTCTCAATTTTATGCCATTCATTTCAGCGTTCTATTTTTTAAATGACATCTTTTACTGAACACCTGGAATTTACTTGAACAGTACATTATTATTGGCGCTTTAATTCGGTGTTTTTATGTCGCTCGCAACGAGCTAAGGCAGCAATATCATATTCTCACCGACAACCCATCCATGACGTCTGAAATGTCCAAATTCATGACAGCCTTTTAGGTTTTTAAATTAACACGGCTTCTTTACAATAACAGCGCACGCCCGTGAAATTTACTTCTGATTTTATTTTAACAAGTTATCAGAAAATTCAATAACTGAGTTAAACACATCATATCTTATGTGTTAACATAAACTTTTAAAGTCTGGAAGAGCAAGTTCTGTGATACTTAATTTTTTGTGTGTGCTGGGTATTATAACGTGGCAAAAAAAAATCTGAATTAATCCAAAGTGGGCCAGCTGGCCAGCTATACTTGTTAATCAGTTGAACTTGGTTAATTTGTCAATAATCATTATTAACATCTAAAATAAATTTTCACTTTTGAAGGCTTGGCTTGTCAGTCAGTTTTGGCGAGCTGATGGTTTTATCTCAACTCTTACTCTATTCTCTTTGGATTTATTCAGTTACTTTTCCAGAGACCGTTTTTGTCTTTTTCAACAAAGAATACGATTTTTCACGGCAAACACACGCGGTAGAAACAGCGACTTCTGGAAATTTAGGACTTCTCCTGTGACCATCACCTGATGCAAACGAATTATTTCAGGCCAGCGACGGATTCACCTGTTGTCGTCTTGAGAAAGGAACCTGCATTCTGGAACTACTTTTTAAGACGAAGTGTACCTTAAATCGATATCATGAAGAAATCATCTTGTGAAGTATTTGCGCTGTACTTTAACTCATCAATCTCCGAACGTGAAGACCTCGATTCGACGTCCATCGTAAATTGTGTCTTCAACGGTTTTCTGTGCTATACCGTCATCATGTTAAACATTGTAACAATCCACGCGATAAGAAAGACATCGTCGTTGCCAAAGACTTTAAAAACATTGCTCCTTAGTCTTGCTGTCTCTGACGTTGGCGTTGGTTTTTTAGTCCAACCATTTTACATCTCCCTTCTCGTCAAGGGATTACAACAAAACATTGCTGCCTGTAACACGTATAAGGCTTTTGACGTGATGGTGGTTTTGTTTTCCACGGCTTCCTTCTGTGGTGTCGTAGCCATAAGTGTAGACAGGTCCTTAGCTATTCATCTTCATCTCAGATACCAGGAACTTGTGACTCACAAGCGTGTTGTTGCTGTGGTGATCTCAATATGGGTGTTAAGTGCGTTTTGGTCTTCGATGGCGTTGTGGGTACCGAACGATATTCACTCGCTTTTTGTATCCATTGGTACTGTCATTGGTCTTCTTGTTACAACACTGATTTACATCAGGATTTATTTAGCTGTGAGACGCCACAAGAATCAGATACAGGCCCTGCAAGTACAGAATGCAGCCCAAACTAGCGAAATGGCAAATTTTGCCAGTCTCATTAAATCTGCAATCGGTACGTTTTACGTCTTTCTCGTTTTTTTGGTTTGTTATTTGCCAATCTTTATCTGTTTGGCTGCACTTGCAACCTTGGGCCCGAATATCACTTTGAATAGATCATTGCTTTTTTCTTGTACTCTCGTATTTCTTAATTCATGTTTAAACCCAGTCATTTACTGCTGGAAGATGAGACACATTCGACAGAAAGTGATGAACATACTGCGGAACATGTCTTGGCACAGAAACCGTGCATCATCCTTATTGTAGCGCCTGCCATGCTCTATCATAATTCTGTGGTGTGGTCGTTTTTCCTCTGTGTATGAGACAACGACCGCGAGAAGACTGGGCCGAGTTGTTCGGAAGCCGGTTAACGTTAACCCAGGATTAGAAGTCAACCGTTGAAAAGTTGGTTTTTCTGGTATCAAAATGTTTTTCACTGCTTATGTTTTGTGTAGTTTGAGATTATTTAAACTCAAAACTGAAGAACAAACAATATTAGCAGAAAACCTCAACGAAAAGTTACAAAATTGAACTCAAAATTCTCGCTCGCTAACCTTGGTTAGCTTAAGCGGGCTTTGAACAACCAGACCGTGGACTCGAACTGCACGCGCGCAAACGAGAACGTATTGATAGAAAAAGATACTTTTCCTTTTCTTATACCATACTGAACAAAAACAACAATAACAACAGGTCTATTAGGATACCCATTTCTTTTGCCTAAATTATATATTTTAATATTAGACACACAAAAAGGAACACATTATGTAAAATATGAGTAATAGAGCAAAGTTTGCCAGACTAGTTACAGTCTTGGATGTCCTCAGTGCCTCAGTGAGTCCCTGCTTTGTAGCAAAAGTGTTTCTTAATTAGAATGCCTCATTTATGCCGAAAATATTTCAGTTGATTTATTCCGCCATTAAGCGTCCTTTTAACAATATTTTTGACATTTACTTGTCATTTATAAAGTAACCTAGTCATCTGTAAATGGAAGGATCAAGGAAATCGGTCGTGAACAGTATAGAATGTTTGCAAAGTGAATTAGATTTGGTCGATATCTGGAGAGTTAAAAATCCTCAAACAAAGAGTTGGACTCAAATATCACCTGCTATATTATGTCGTCTAGATTTTTGGCTTATTTGAATAATCTTTGCGATTTTTGAAATTCAACTGATATTATTCCTGCAATAAGAACTGATCATGCGGCAATTAGTTTAAACCTTGGCGAAATTGGAGAGGCAAAAGGACCTGGCATGTGGAAAAGAAACGTTTCGCTATAAGATGATGAAGAATATTTGAATTATCTGGGTGCTAACATACCTAATGGAATCAGAGCGGAAAAAAGAATTATCAGATAAACGCTACGTTTGGGACTGGATTAAATATAATATTAGAATGCACGTTATAAGGTACTCTAAAGAAAAAGCTAAACACAGAAATGACACAGAAAGGACGATTCAACAGGAATATGAGGATGCTACCCGGCATTTTGAAAAAGATCCAAATGATTACAACAGATCTCGGTTAAATGAGATTAAAGAGAAACTGGAATTATTTTATGAAGAGAAAACAAATGGAATTATTGTACGTGCAAGAGCTCGCTGGTATGAGCACGGAGAAAGAAGCACTAAGTACTTTTTGAACTTAGAAAAGAGAAATCATGTTAAAAAACACATCAAAAAATTGGTAATTAGTGGCGCTATAACAACAGACCCATACCAAATACTTTCCGAACAAAAAAACTGGTATTATAACTTGTACAAAACAACAGCGGTAGACACGAATTCTATCAAGCCTTTTTTAAACAATTTAAGTGTACCGCAATTATCTGAAGAACAAAAACTATCCTGTGAAGGCCAGATTACCAAAGAAGAATGCAAAAGGATTTTAGAAACTTTTCAAAACAAGTCTCCAGGAAATGACGGAATCCCAATTGAATTCTACAAAAACTGTTGGAATCTTATTTGTCAACCGTTCATTAATTGCATTAATGAGTCCTTCGTAAAGGAAGAAATGTCCAATTCCCAAAAGCAAGCTGTCAATACTTTAATAGAAAAACAAGGGAAAGATCGCACGCTAATGGAAAATTGATGCTAAAATAATCTCGAAAGTGATTGCTTCAAGAATTAAAAATGTTTTACCCTATATCATTCACAGCAATCAAACTGGTTACGTCAAAGATCGCTATATTGGTGAGACAGTAAGATCGATTCTTGACGTCATGGATTTCACAGAAAAAGAAAATATACCTGGTTTGATGATGTTTATTGATTTTCTTAAAGCATTTGACACTTTAGAGTGGAACGTTTTGTTTAACTGTCTAGACTTTCGGAAAGATAATGCCGTTGAAACTAATTGGCTTTACCGAATTCTCTATTTGCACAAATCCCATAATACACCTCTTTTACCCCCCTTAATTTTACATAAACATTTTTTGCCATTTCTCCTGATACATAAAGATATCCCAAGAGAAATCTAAAGCAATGCCTATGCACATTTTGGGGGGGGGGGGGGGGGGGGGGTTGAGCAATTTATTGGGGCATGAAATTTTTTTTCACACCCAGTTAGGTTGTGCGTGTCGGTTTTTTTGGTGGGCAATAGCTTGCACTTTTTTAACATCAAAAATCAAAATAATGATAGTAGAAAGCACTTGCTCGATTTTTTCTCTATGGCTTCCCTTGCACGTTTCAGTTCTTTCAACGGTTTTCGCTGTGCAAGATTTTTAAGGTTCTTTTGGAAGATACCCATTCCTCTCGCCCTCCCC